AAAAAAAAGACACGAAGATTCTACAGTCTCTTCCGTCAGGAGTTTATAACTGTTAGATCAGTTATCCACAACTGTTACATGTTGATCTAACGGTTAAAAATCCCGACAGAATAGTTTCATAACGAGACTGTAGCATTTCCTATAAATACAAGTTAAAAAATTTTAGATCGATTCAAACGTGACGAAATATTTTACTAGCTAGTAAACTCGTTTGGGAAAATTTTATAAATGATTCATTAATTTGGCCTACTTACACAATTTTATAAAATAATGACGTGGCGTGGTGTGGCGTGGCATGACATAGTGATGATATCAGGTGTGATGAGTTGATGAGATGGCGTGATAATCATTTTTTTATTTAATTTAAATATAATATAAGGATTGGTTGCATCCTCCCGTTGGGTATAAAACAACTCATTTCACCGCCTCTATAGACGGGGCTTAGCTTGAGTATGACATTATCGGAGTGTCCCACTCTCGACGAGTTCTAGACTCGTCGTCCTAGGCCTCTGGCCTCCCACTTTGTACAGGAAAAAAAATAATATAAGGATTAACACAAAATAAAAGGCCAATAAATTAATCAAGTCAATCAAATAAACTAAGAAAAGAACTGCGCACAAGCATTTAAAAAAGACTTGAGAAAAACAGGCCTTCAAATATCTCTTCTTGCTCATCATTTTTCTTCTCAAATTAGTTCATTTACGTTAAAGTAAATGCAGTACAATTATTCCACTACAAAAAAAAGTTAAAATTCTAACGTAAATATATTTCAATGAAATTTCAATTACAATTCTAATAAATATTTCAATGCTATTATTTTTGTAGAACTTTCAGTGGATTCTAACAAAAATATTCTTTTTGCAATGAGTTTTCTATTGGAATTTCCTTTGAATTTTGACGATTCTGACAACAGATTTTTCAACGGTGGTGGAAATAAAAATTTCAACGGAAATTCATGCGGTAAAAAACCGCTGGAAAAATAGTCGTTGTAATAACCATCAAATTTCATCTAAAATTCCAATGGAATATTTTCGTTGGATTTCCATTGGAATCATTCCAACGGAAGCAATAACAGTGGAGTATCTGTTGGAATTCTATTGAAATATATTACGGTAGAATTGCCCGTTATTATATCACATTTTTTTTTTTTATAGTGCATAAATATTAAGAGGTAATGCATTAGATCTATGTTACCTATTTTTTTTTTAAAAAAAAAAACACTATTTCCGCTAGAATTTCTACTGAAACTATTCCAACGGAAGCTATGTTCGAATATAACAATTTTTTTTGTAGTGATGGTAAATACACATTATTTTCAATTAAGATTAAACTCTCTTTTCTTACTTGAGAATAATAGAAAAATGGAATGAAAAAGACATTAAATCATTGAATGCGTAATTGAACTTAAAATATGTCAGCGATATGAAGTATTGAATATGAAAGAAAATTTCAAAATGGTAACAAAATGGCTATTTGAGTCGGTTCTTCACATTATGAGGCCATGGACCAAACACAAGCATTGTGCCCTTATAATCTTATTCTAATTGGGCCCTGGGCCAATTACAAAACATGTTACAAAGGCATCTTAATTAATTAAGTTAAGAAACAAAAATTAAGAAAGTACAAATGGATCCGGTACCCTTGTAACCTTATTCTAATTGGACCCTGGGCCAGGGCCAGGGCCAGGGCCGGCCCAAATTATTTCATACTCACTGTTTGGTTAGATTCCGTGTTTGCGTTTGCTGTGAAGGGAAATTTAATTTTCTTCGACGGTCTGACTATATGAATTTGGATTTCAACGAATGCATAAAAAATTCACAGTTCGAAGATGTCGCTTACGAGCTGAAACGAGGAATAGGAATCCTGAAAGGCATATCCGCTGCGGTCAAGCCCGGCGAGATCCTGGCCATGCTCGGCCCTTCCGGCAACGGCAAAACCACCCTCCTCACCGCCCTCGGCGGCCGTCTCTTCGGTAGCCGCCGTCTCTCCGGCAACATCACATACAACGGCAGGGGCATTCTGTTGTGCGAGGGGGGTTCGCCCCGTCCCCATGAATCCTGCTGACTTCTAGTTGGATCTTGCAAATGGTGAGTTTGTTGTATCTATAGATATTCCTTCCTTTAATAATAATGGTTAAACTTAAATTACTCTCTGGTTGTCCATTAGGCATTTCTACTGTGGATTCGGACGAAGATCGAGCTAAGATTCAGAAGATGTTGGTGGCGGCTTACGAGACAAATTTATCAAGTAATGTGATATTGGAAATAAATGTTGCGGATGAAGGCACTCGGTTGAATTTCCCACTACACAATAAGCAGCCGAATATGCAGTGGCCCAACAATTGGTGGTTACAATCCTCGGTGCTTTTTAAAAGAGGGATCAAAGAAAGAAAGCACGACTCGTTTTCTATACTCAAGGTCGTCGAGGTTCATCGTGGCTATTGTGAGCGGTCTAATCTGGTGGCAATCCAACAGAAGTCACTTACAAGACGAGGTCGACCCCACACGCTCATTCTTAATTAATTACAAATAAACGAAACTTTGCATCTTGGCCGTGTTTAAATTGTGAATGAAATGTACGTAGGTCGGGCTTTTCTTCTTCTACTCCAAAACGACGAGTAGAAGAAGAAAAGCCCGACCTAAATACATTTCATTCACAAATGATCATCACTTGCGGCCAAGGTGCAAAGTTCTCCGTTTATTTGTTTTTTAATTAATTAAGAATGAGGGTGACTTGGTCTTGTAAGTGACTGGTGTTAGATTGCCACCAGATTAGACCGCTCACAATAGTCATGATGAGAACATCGACGACCTTGAGTATAGAAAACGAGTCGTGCTTTCTTTCTTTGCTCCCTCTTCTAAAAAGTACCAAGAATTGTAACTACCAATTGTTGGGCCATCGCATACTCGACTGCTTATCGTGTTGTGAGAAATTAAACCTAGTGCCTTCATCTGCATCATTTATTTTCGATTTCACATTACCTGATAAATTTGTCTCGTAATCCGCCACCAACGTCTTATGAATCTCAGCTCGATACCTCGTCCGAATCTACAGTAGAAATACCTAATGGACACTTAGAAGGTAATTTAAGTTAACCAAAAGGAAAGGAATTTCTATAGATACAACAAACTCACCATTCGCAAAGATCCAACAAGAACTCAGCAGGATTCATAGATAACCGACCTAAACGTGATGGCCGATTCCGAGTCCATGACCACCACACCAAAGGCAAGACCGAGCCCTTGAGTGCACATCACGCTGTATAAAAGAACGAGTAGGCCCAACAAAAAGAATCCTATTGTCGGCTTGAGACCCGCCTTCCAATAGGTTATGTGTAGGCTACTATGGGAAGGACCAACTCCATTGGCATGTCACCAAGAGCCCGAGCCATGAAGTAAGATAACAATCGGTTTAAGTAGCAGTTCCTTGTTGCCTAATCGGGCCTGTTTAGGATCATCTACCTGAGGTGGTACAAAAATAATCTTTTAAAACTCTATGGAATTCATAAAAATAAAAATAAAAAATAAAAAAGCAGTTAAAACACCAATCAAATATATGTGGGTTTGAAACCTGATTTTTTATTCCCAGATTCAACTCATCGGGGGTGAGAAGCATGTCCGGTGGTTCCTGTTGAACATGAACTCACGCTGTCGGCGCAGACACCGTTATCCACTCAGGATCCCGGCGAGCATGTGCTCGAACTCGTCGCCCCCGAGCTTGCCGACGAACGCGGCCCTACCTCCCAGCCTGGCCACAGCTATGGCGACGTTGGCCGGAGCACCGCCCGGGGGCACGAGGAAACCCAGCGCCTCATCTAGGGAGACGCCGGAGACGGTGGGGACGAAGTCGATCAGCATCTCTCCGAAACTAACGATCATACTTTTCCAGGAGCCGCTGCTGCTCATTGCCATATCTTGAAGAATAGTTTCAATTAAATAACGATTTGTAATATTATGATTTCGAGGGGTTTTGATGAAATGAATGAACACCATAAAATCAATCACCAACAAACAAATTGATATACCAAAACCCAATTGGGATCAGTCAATGTACAAAAATATCTCACACACACACACACATATGTATATATTACATTTATGTACGACACTGCAATTACATGAGGAAAAAAAAAAAAAGAAAACAAGTTAGAATTTAAGTACATGACAGTGTTAAATAGAGGAGCAGGTAGTGCAGGAATCGCGATGGGTGGTTGGGAATAATAGAGGAGAGGGGAGACTTTATTTATCAAGTGAGTGGGAAGAAAATAGTGGTTGGGAATTTGTTAGGTGGGTCATGTGGAAGAAGAGAGAACGAGGCATGTGGGAGAACTTTGCCGCTCTTGTGGTCCTACTCAGTTCGATTTCAGATTAGTCGGTTTCCCTGTGGATCTGGAAATCGAAAGGTCCCTCTATCAAAAAAAAAAAAGAATATCTAGAATAATGCTATTTGTATCTCTTGGTGTATCACTTAATTTACATACAAGGGGTACATGTACTCATTTACCCTTAATGAATAATTTAATTTAGTAAATTATTCATTACGGATAAATGCGTACATATACCTCTTGGATGTAAATTAAGTGGTACACTAAAGGTACATGTAGCATGATCCGAATGTCTAAGTTGTAGGTAGCTCACGCAAATGTTGTTTGTTTCTTTCAAAATACATTATTATTATTTGTTTAACTTTCAATGATCCGAATATCTAAGTTGTAGGTAGCTCACGCAAATGTTCTTTGTTTTAATTTCAAAATACATTATTATTATTTGTTTGACTTTCAAAATACATCTTTTGTGATATTCCGACGATCCGTATTCAACTGTTTGGCTGCTTGGTTATTCTAACTGGTATCTAGTTGTAATTGTGTGATTTTTATTCATAAAATTTCTATCGTTTCAAAAAAAAAAAAGAAAAGCTCTGCAGATGAAGCTTGAGTGTTTATTGAATTGATTGATAAATAGATGATATATTAAGCTTTTATATAAATACTATTTTGGGTTGAAAGAGCTACTCAAATAATCTTTTTTTTTTTTTTTACAAAATAAATTAATTAGTGAAAATCCGAAATGAAGTTCAATCCCTCAATTTGACATCAATTTTCTAACATCACACAAGCAATTTATCTTTTTACAATATAGACAGTTAAATATCGATCAACATATATATAACTATACTTATAATAAAGGGGATATTATTTACTAAAAATGGTAGCAAAAATATAGGTTAACATTTAATGCAACTTATAAATAGTAAGTTTCACTAATTTTATTATTATTTTCTTTAAAAATCAAACAACATTACATGTTACCTTAAATTACGGGCTTTAGTTCATTTTATTATTTAAAAAACCTGGATAATTTCTTTTAAGTGTGCATGTTTTTTTATTTTATTTTATTTTTTTAGAAGCAAGGAACAACATTAAAATTTCGGTCTCTATATTTATAAAATCTCAATTCAAAATACAACAGGTGCTTTAGAATCTCTGTCTTTATATTCGTGCCTTTCAAACTGAAAGCTAAAAATATTCTTTAAATTGATAATCAATCAATCAATATTAATTTTTCGAAGATCACAATGTTTATTTTTTATTAGTATGCATAGTAAAAATAATTAATTCATCTTTAGATATATAATTTATAATCTTAATATACCATCATTTAGTGTAGACATTTATTATATGAATCATAAAATATTTTTATTTCATAAATTAAATATATTTACAGGAAATAAGAAAATTTCTTTGGATCAATCGGGTGATTGAATTAGGGTATTGCCCAGATTGATTGAATTACTTAGGTGATATTTAAAATAGTAAAAAAACTTGACACAATTTGGTTGGTCCCAGGTGACTAAGTTATGTATCAGTTTGACCAAACCAAATTGATTATTAAACTTAAATATAAATTTTAATATTAAAAATATTTT